CGTCTTTGTCCGTCTCCGTGCCTTCTCTTCTTCCGTTCAACTCAAGAGGCGTTCATGACCACCTCCGAAAAACGCATTGTCATTTCCTTGATCATAGCTCCAACAGAACGATCAGATGTCAGTTGTAGTTATTTATTCCTTTGATGTGTATTAAGAAATGATGAAATCACAATATAAATTCTGTAGGGGGGTGGCATTGAATTTATTTTGTGATATCCTCGCTTGCTTTTCAGTTTTGATGTATAATTTTCAATTTTCGTAGTTTCATTGAAGTTATCGTTCGTTTACATTTTTGCGGAGGCGGTCTTGAACACCTCTCGAGTCGAACTGAAGAAGAAAAGGCACGTAGACGTACAAAGACGTACATGCATTTGTTGAGACTGTTTTAAAAAAACAACACGACAGCTCTCCTTTTTTCGGAGCCGCAGCAAAATCTTATTTAATAAAGCAGCGACACAGTTCACTGAACCAACAGCAAGTTATAACATTGTAAGCATGTCTCCAGCAAGGAGCCATTTTGGAGTCGACATATTACCGTAATGACCATACACAAGGCGCACCGGATTTTAAGGCGCTCGGTGAGCTTTTAAGAAAATGGAAGACTTTTTGGTGCGCCCGATAGTGCGGAAAATACAGTACTACAGATGCATTTTTTTGCCTTAAGAATGTTGATGGAGAAGTATAGAAAAGGTCAGAGGAGCTGTATTGTTTTGTCTCTCTCAAGAATGCCTATAACAGAGTACCCAGAGGATAGGCTGACAGATGATGTAAGACTGGAAACCCCATGGACCATCACATTGTGATCTGCAGTAAATGAAGGGAGCAGGTGGAGAAACATTTCGAAAGGTGGAGGCATGCATTGTAAAGGAGAGGAATGAAGATGAGCAGAAGTAAAACAGAATATACTGTATGTGCGTGAATGGGAGAAAGGGAGGAGGAAGAGTGAGGCTACGGGGAGAAGGGACAATAAGAGTAGAGGACTTTAAATACTTGGAGTAAAAAGTCCAGGGCAATAGTGACTATGGTCAGGAGGAGAAGAAATGGATTCAAGCAGGTTGGAATGGGTGGAGGAAAGTTTCAGGGGATTTATATGATGGAAGAGTCTATGCTAGGATGAAGGGGAAAGTTTATAAGTGAAGCCGGCCATGGTGGATGGATTGGAGACAGTGGCACTCAAGAAATGACCGGTATCTGAGGTGGAGGTGGCAGAAATTAAGATGTTGAGGTTTTCTTTTGGAGTCACCAGGATGGTTAGGATTAGCTCATCAGGACAGACAAGGTTAAATGTTTTGGAGAAAAAGTTAGAGAGAACTACCTTAGATGGTTTGGACATGTCCAGAGGAGAGAGAATACGTGTATCGATAGAAGGGCGATGAGGATGGAGCTGCCAGGAAAGCAAGCAAGGGGAAAACCTCAGAGAGAGTTGATAGATATAGTGAGGGGAGACATGAGAGCGTTTGACGTTAGAGAGAATAGACTTTGATGGAAAAGAATGACACACTGTGATGAACTAAAAAAAAACAAGCGGAAAGGAAATGAAGATTGCTATTTTAGTTTGACTTCCTACGGACTGCAAAGACTGTTGATGGGGTGGATATGGCACACAGTCCCAAGTCCTACTTCATCCGGTTGTGCTGTAAATCTTTAAATTCAGTCATGAGCTTGGTGGGTTTGGAAAAAAAAAAAAGAGGACTAAAGAATAACTTCCGGTGTTAATTTGAGAAGCACACCCAAAAGTTTTATATGCAGCTGTTTATATCATACATTGAAAACTCTTGCCGTCATGGTATGGTAAAAAACACTGTAGTTTGTTCAACAAAAGACCTCGTCCCATCATCTCTGCCCAGGCATGGCCAAACAAATTGAGGAAAACCAAACATTTACATTCACATAACAGCTGGATTGAGTGTAAAGTGATAAGTCATGCCTGGAGAGTGAAATGCTCAGATGCTACATTAGCATAGCAACAGAGCTGCCCGCTGATTGGGCGGCCCGGACTCCTTGGACAATGTAGGAGTCGCCACCGCGAGACCAATACTAAACCCTCACATCAAAATAACAGCATAAAAACGGTGGGGTAATTTGGTACGATTGGTGTTTTTCTTTTTTAAAATAAATATGGCATGATGGACGTTTTATATAATATTATAAATAATATCGTAGTATGAACAAACACACAGGACTGCAGTGGCACAGGAAGTATTCTTCCTGTGTCCATGTAGAGCATGACTGGCTCATGCCTTTCGTGCATAACGCTGGATTGGAGCCAGATGGCTCTCCTCTGATTGTAAAATACATTTCTTAGATGTGTATATTCAATTTTATTGCCAGTTACAAACAAGATCAGTGACATAGAAGGTGCAAAATAACATTCATAAATTCATGCCTGTCGTGCATGACGCTGGATTGGAGCGAAATGGCTCGCCTCCGATTGTGAAATACAATTACGTTTCAGACAAGTTCTGTATATTCCTTTTATTGACAATTTGAAGCGAGATCGGTGAGATAGAAGGTGCAAAATAACGTTCATATAGCCTAAATAAGCCCACAATTAATTTGTGTCATTTCTCCAGGGTCATTAACAGAATCACTAAGGGAAGGGCTTATCGATACTGTGGTCTTTAAAAATTCAACCCCAGGTCCAGTTTAGTAGCAGGGCTCGGTACCCATCCCTCCACATATTTCAACGTACAATGTATTTCATCCATCCATCCATCCATCCATCCATTTTCTGTTCCACTTTATCCTCAAAAGGGTCGCGGGGGGTGCTGGAGCCTATCCCAGCCGTCTTCAAGCAGTAGGTAGGGGACATTCTGAACTGGTTGCCAGCCAATTGCAGCAATGTATTTCAGTGAAACATATGCCATGTCAACAAAAATGCAAGACATAATGGTAATAGCGTCCTTTCATATCACGACAGTATATATTTTATTATATGGAATACAATATTGCCCTCGATTAGAATGGTTTATTTATGAGACATTTTTTTCCTCAGCAAAAACAGTGTACATATAGCGACATTTGGTGTGTAGCTTGACTACTTGGTTGCTTTGTGACCTGCAGCAGATCTTTGGAAGAGACACCTTAAATGCAGCTGTGCTTTGCCTTTGAAAAACTCATTTTCATCCTTTTATCGGTATGCGCAGGAAACTTTCACAAGTGTTGGAGCGCTTTCCCGAATTAAATTCTCTCTGCCGGCTGCACGTGATGATGACTCACCCATGCCGGGCGCTATTCAGACAACACAGACAAAACTGCAATCAGAGAGGCGTCAAGAGATTACGGTGATCTGTGAGACCTCACCCTTCCAAAAAAAAAGGGAAGCTTGTCCTCAGTTCTGCAGCCTGAATGATCATCACAAAGACAAAGGCTCGCAGTTGCAGTGCGGCAGCATTAATTAGAATCAACTTCAATATGCCTAATGGGAGCCCATTGCAATTCTTTTTATAGCTATTGAAATTGTACAAAGCTGGAGGCGCTGAAATTAATGTATCTGATTGTTCTGTTCTGGATTGAGCTCCAGAGTCTTTGATGCGACTAACACATGCAGGAAACCAGCTAGCTAACACGACTTATCTTAAAATGTTAGTTTCTTTATGTTACACAATGGTCATCTGAATGTCCACACTGCTTTATTTCGGGGTTACGCTCTTTTGTTGGAGTGTCCAAGTGTCCATAGAGAAAATAGTGTTGTGTTTTCAAAATTACTCAAAATGCACTGAAAAATAGTTAGCATTGATGGTCACTCAACAGGTTAGACGGGGGGTCGGCAACACGCGGCTCTCG